CTAAGCAGTCATAGATATTGTGTAATTTATCGTTCCCGGTTAAAGATATTAATTAATTTAGTTACAAAAAAGCGATTCACGTTTACGTTTACCTCATAAACTGAACGGAAATACAGTTCACTAGCTGGATGATAAGGTGCAATGTAAGGGTTTTCATGTTATTTATTCAAAATCTCAAGTAAGGTTGTCTTAATGGTAAAATGTGAGTCGGAGTNAAAAGCGATTCACGTTTACGTTTACCTCATAAACTGAACGGAAATACAGTTCACTAGCTGGATGATAAGGTGCAATGTAAGGGTTTTCATGTTATTTATTCAAAATCTCAAGTAAGGTTGTCTTAATGGTAAAATGTGAGTCGGAGTTGTCAAAATAGTCGTAATGCTTATTAAAGTCCTGGCATAGGCAACGAAAAGCATCATGCATTTCAAAATTTGTTCTACAAATAGTTAACTTAATGGGCTTGTAGTGTCTAGAAGGCCTAGAAGGAATACAAAACGTGATCTGGTTCAGTAGAAAGGGACTATTGACCATCCCCGCATCTCAATGCGGCTGTGCAGCGTTGGCAAATTTATGAGCTTCAAGCGGCTTTTGTACGGTGGGAGATTTAATGTCGAATCACAAGGCAAATTATTTAATGCGAATAATGAGAATTGTTTCTGTACCGACTCGAGCCTGTCAGAGTGCGTTTGATATCTAGGGTTCCATACGACGGACCCGTATTCTAAGATCGGCCTGACTAGGGAGGTGAAGAGAGCTTTAGTGACATAAGGATCTCTGAAATCTTTAGCCCAACGTTTGATGAAAGCCAAGACGCCCTTGGCTCTATTAACACAAGAGTTTACATGGGACTTGAATTCAAGCTTAGAGTCCATGGTTACGCCTAGATCGATGAAATTAGTTACCTGATCAACACTATGTTCACAAATGCGGTAGCTATATGATTGAAAGGGTTTTCTATGATCCGATTAAGTTCACAGTTAGAATGCATATTGCTTACATGAAAAGAAATAACTACACAAAAAATTTTGGCAGTTACTGGCGCGGGAGTCTATATAATTAAAAAAAACGGCATCTGTGCTCCGATTTTAGTCCACTTGCAAAGAGCTCTATGTAAAATTTTTTAAATTTTTAGTTTTTGGTGGTTAACTTACCAGTATTTAAAGTAGTTTCATGTCCACTAACAATACAGTGCAAAATCCTTATACATTCTGAAAAAATAGCATGAAATGTTAGCTACTCTAGCAAAAGTCGCTATAATACTTACCGTATGTATATATACACTTTCTGTTACTGATTAAGCATTATACTTTTATATAAAACTGTAATTACACTAGTTTTCATTTAATAGAAAACTGTATTCAACCACTTATGTACGTACTAAACTTGAATTGTCCACTCGTACAAAAGAAATTGTCTCGTTATATTTCTACGAAAAAATACAACCGTGCCTAAAATGTAAACGCCTTTGAATTGACCGAAGCGTGCCTTGAGAGTTCAGTTACGATAATTCAAACGAGTACGAGGCACGAAATGATATAAAAACCTCTTACTTTAACTTTTATCAAAGTATTATTACAAATAAAAAACATTAAAGCGAACTCGGTTACAGTGTCGTTATTTATATTTTCGAACGCCTCGTATATTCGAGCTAAAGTTGCTTTTGCCTGCAACACTTTCAAAAGTCGCTATAATATTTATTATACGTATTTATACAAGTTCGAAAGTCTCCATCTTCTGATGAACTTAGAAAACTTCAAGAAAACGTGGTAGTTTCGGTGCCTAGTGGAAGACGTCGTAAAAAAGAAGTAGACCAATCTTCATGGAAGAGAGAACGCGAAAAGCTAAGCTGGCTATGTAACAGTTACTGTTTCAAAACTCGCTATATTAATTTTTTATATATATAAAATTTGCAAAAACTACCATACTGCGATTTTGTTTTTTACTGTTATTAGACTCTTATTTATCCAAATTTTCAGATAATAAAAAAAAGATACAATTTGGAATTTACTTGTTGTTGTAGACGTTTTTTTAATTTATGGCTTAGTATTATAAAATCACATAACGCTGTTTGCAAGTGAACTACTCATTTGGTTTATATTCAAAATATGTGTATTGTCTATTTAGGGCGTGTGTGAATCGGTAACAAAGTTCTCTGGGGAAAGCTGTTGAATAATATTTTTACTATGGTGAGACAGTTTTGCCAATCTGTTGTGTGAAATGAAATCTTTTTTGACAGCAGTAAATTTTTGATAACCGCAGATTTAGTCAGAATAAAGTATTACAAATTGAAGTGAAATTAATAGTTTAAGAAAACATCTACCATCACTGATAGCATTTCATCAATTTAAGCTTTTGTTTTACGAAAAATTACACACAGCAACAATCTTTGCGATTGTCAAAATCTTCTATGCATTTGTCAAAAATTTCACTAGCCTCATGAGCTACTGAAATTTTATTCACCTCATAGTTGCCAAAAATTTACTTGCCGCAAACTTTGTTACCGATTCACACACGCCCTTAAATTTAAATATATTGAAAATTTTGTTTGTTACGGTCAAATCTAGCACGTTAGGTAAAAAATGTAGCTAAAAAGCAGGTCGCGGAAAATTTTGGCCGCGAACGATTAAAAGTACGACCTTCTCATATTAACTCGTTTTGCAATTGTATTTTACCGCTGTAAATACTTAAGAAAACGGTCGTGGGCGAAAACATTTGCGCCTGCTTCGCATGCACACGCAAATTCAGATTCAGGTAGTGACTTACTAAGCCTTTTTCACGCAAAGTAGTTAGTATTCTAATGTTTTATGAATATGCGTATGTAAATATCGTTCGTGATCTTAACGATCATTAGTATGCTCGTAAGAGATCGTAAACGCTTTTATGCGCCGTGGAACTTTAAAAATCACTATAAATTGAAAGTAAAGAGGTTTTGACGGCGATTAGTTGCAGAAAGATGGTACTTTGATCATTCTCTGCACCCTGATAAAAATTTCAAAAAATAGTATAAAAAAATATTTAAAATAAAATTATAGTACAAAAACCCGCTTTTATTACAACAAGAACTAAAAAGTATAAAATAATTGATATATATAGCGATTCCGTTTAAGAAGAAAGGAAGTTCCCTAACTTGATTTAATTTAACTTTCTTAAATCAGCTAAAAATATGATTAAAAAGATTGGCCCGTAGTCATAGACAAAATAAACTCCACTGTAAAGTTTGTTGCAGCTTTTTGACATAATTTTCAATGGGATATCTTTAAAAAAAAACTGCAACAACCTTTACAGAGAAGTTTATTTTGTGTATGACAACGGGCCAATCACTTTAATCATATTTTTAGCAGATTTAATAAAGTTAAATTAAATCAAGTTAAGATCCCTAACTATTCTATTCTTCTTAAACGGAATCGCTATATATATCAATTATTTTATACTTTTTAGTTCTTGTTGTAATAAAAGCGTGTTTTTAGTTTTTAACCGACTTCCAAAAAAGGAGGAGGTTATCAGTTCGTCGGAATATTTTTTTTTTTATGTATGTTACCGCATAACTTTGGACCACGTCAACCGATTTCGATAACTTTTTTTGGCAACGGAAAGGTATTGTCTCAGAGGTGGTCCCATACTAATTTGGTTTAGATCCGATCATTGAATCATGAAATATATAGAGATATATATATATTTTTTTAAGTCGGTTTTTTTTGCTAAAAATTACTTGTTTAACTATAGCATTCGCACATTTATTTAAACCAAACGCAAATCAATTTAACCCAAACGTAAATCAATTTAACCTAAACGCAAATTAAATTAAACCAAGCGCAAATTAATTTAACCCAAACGCAAATTAATTTACCCCAAACGCAAATTAATTTAACCCAAACGCAAACCGAAAACTATCATTGCCACTGTAGATTAGTAGTTGTAGTTTGAATCTATAGCAATGGTGGGCACGGCATGGAACAATTGTTTATGCTCACTTCACACTAGAGACCTGCACGAGTGATTCCGGCATCATATGAGTACGACTATTACTAATCGTTTTATGAGTACAGCGATGCTTTTTTAGAATCGTATAATCGCTCACACGATGCCGATTCTGCCGATGCGACATTGTAGCATCGGACGATTACTATTTTGGCATCGCCGTAACACGTAACGTGTAAAATGCACTAAGCGAAATACAACAAATACATAATTTTTAGATGCTGAACTTAAAATAAAATAAATCAAAGGATTTATTAGTTTTCCGGCTAAAGAAAAAATTATTTAATTTTAAAGACAACCTTATTAAACTTATCATTTCAGTTTATAATTCATGTTTTATAGTAGAGAATAAAGTATTTTTAATTCGTCTGTTTATGTTGAGAATGTAAAAATAAAATTGCATCCAAGTTTTCGCTTTTTAAATTTGTTCTTCGGTCCGATTTGCCGAACTGAAGCACCTTTCACTTGATGCGCGGGATGCGGGAATACATAAAATATGTTGTGAAAGTTTCTCTAAGAGTGGAAATTCTTTCCCAAGGGTCTTCCACCAATGCAAAATATCTGATTCCGGAAAGTTGGCGTCTTTATACAACTCCATTTGCACGTTTATTACAGATTCGTGGTTGCGGATGTTCGGAAAATGGACATCTTTGTATTCAGATAACATCTGGTCTAAAGTATCTACATTATCATCGATGGAATTTTTTGTGTCTAGGCTTTCATATAACGTGCTTACATTACTTTCCAAGGATGACATCGTGGCTATATTAAGAAGCTCATCTTTCACTAGGTGGTACACTTCCTCACGTTCAACCTCGTTTAAATAACGTAGCTGCTTATATTCTGGCCACAAAAATGCTTTTGTTGAGTTGTAACTTCTTTTCGAACAACTCTAAACAATATGGAACTATAAAACTAATCTCCTCATTGCTTTCTTCGTTTTTAAGTTTCAATAATTTCATTTTAACAATATGCATATGTAATAAAACTTAATGAATAGTTGGGTCTTTTTCACCCTCTAACAGTAATATTGCGCTTTTAAACGGTTCTAAAAATACAAGTACTCTGTCTAATAAATGCTTTTCAATCCCGATAAGACTATGCGATTCCTTTGATTTCTCCAAAATTTCTTCAATGGTGTTCAAATTTCGACGCACAGAAAACAGCATATCAAATACTGTGTTCCACCTCGATGCACATTCTTGTTTTACAGTCGTTTCTAACGTACAGTTTCTACCTGTTCGTTTTAAATTTTCCACTAGAGTTTTACATGCGTTTATTAAATGTAATACATGAGGCGCACCCTCTCGGAGTTTTGCTTTGTCGAAAGAATGTTTTAAAATAATATTAAGCATATGGGCTGCACAATTAATTCTTGAGTGATTGTGTAAAGCCTTTTTTATATTTGATCCTTGATCAGTTGTAAAAGTAATTTTTTATGTAAATCCCGTTCTAAGCCCAATTCTTCAAACTTATCTCCTATTGAACTGATGATATTTTCTGCTGATTTTTTAATAACGTTCCCATCCTGATCAGTAGACTCAAATGCAACTGTGAATAAAGAGCGACTGAAAGAAAAAGCCCCATTAAATTAACTATTTTGGAGGTTACATGTTAGTTTACAAATCTTCCCTTACTTTTGAAATTTCCCAGTAGTTTCAAGATAATGTACGGTTAAAGTAAGAAAACTCCTCTGCTTCTTGCTGTCGGTCCACAAATCCATTGTACTAGCACACCTGCCTAAAATATATTTTGTAATATTGCACATACTTATAGAGAGAAAGAAAAGAATGCAATCAACCTTTTTCCATGTACGGTCGAATGTTATTGACGAATATTTCACGTTCAGAAGTGTGGACTTTCAGTAGTGTGCGGCTTACCATAGTAGNATATTTCACGTTCAGAAGTGTGGACTTTCAGTAGTGTACGGCTTATCGTAGTAGAATGTGGCAGTATATCGATTGAAAATTTTTTTGTTCCTAACTTGACACCTACTTCTATTAGACATCGTGCCATGTCTTTGAAACCAGAACCATTTACAGCGTCAAATGATCGTAGATCTCTAGCAACAAACTCAACACAACTTCTGGTCACTTCATTTCGGATTTCTTCATTTACAAAAACGCACGATTTTCTCCTCTTTGTCTCAGTTAAATTTTCGTTTTCGCTTAACCGTTTGTAGCAAGTATGCTTTTTTAAATTTGAAGGAATACTTCCTTTTCCAAACTTAAATATTTTCTGGCATCGTTCACACAAAACATACGGCACTATTTCCAACGTACTGGAATTTATAATTTTCTTAAAGTTTTTCCATACGTCACTGGAGCCAGTAGCCTCAATCGCAGAATATTCTCCCGATTTTACTTTATTTAGCACTTCCATTTTGCCGTAAAATCTTGTTTTTGATGCTTTCACGTTTTAATGAATTTTTTAATTTTTGTCATTGTGACAAATTTTTCAAATTTAACTTCGCTCAACAAAAACGTCTCATATGAAAATGATGATATGAAAAAATATCCGTTTGCTACCAAGTAAAACGATGCTTTGCCAACGATGTCACACAAAAATTCAAGTATTCGCATCGTTTCTATTCATACTCGGCGATTACTAACTTGTTATATTTTTACTTATTCGTGCAGGTCTCTAGTATAGACTCAACAGAATTAAATAAGTATGTACTTCGTCAGCACCATAAAATTCCATATTTTGTCGATTTAAGTGTAAAAATGTCGGGTGCAAAAATATTTAGTACCTTAGACGCAGATCGTGCTTTCCATCAAATTAAATTAAGCAATAAAAGCTCAAATTGTTTAGTCATGATCACACCTTTCGGAAGGTATCGTTATTTGCGTTTACCATTTGGTATTTCGTCTGCTACAGACGTATTCCAACAATGTTTTGAAACCATTTTTTCGGATATAGAAGGTGTTGATATTTACGTTGATGACATACGGGTCTATGGTAAAACAATAGAAGAGCACGATCTTGATTTCAGTAAAGTACTCGAAAGAGCCAAAGAGAGAAACATAAAATTTAATTTAAAAAAATTTAAACTTGGCTGTAACAAAATAAAATTTATGGGTCATTATTTTACGAATGAAGGTATACAAATTGATGATGAAAAAGTTAAAGCAATAAAGAAATGAATCCACCTGGAAGCAAATCGGAATTGGAACCCTTTTTAGGTATGTTGACCTATGTAGCAAAATGTGTCCCAAATTTAGCAGCTAAAAATGTTAGTTTAAGAGGATTAATAAAAAAAATGCAGTATGGAACTGGGATGAGAATTGCAACAAAGAATTTATGGAAAAAAAAATACTAGCACAAGCGCCAGTCCTGCAATACTATAATGTTAAAAACCCCGTAGAGTTATGTGTAGATGCTTCTAAATATGGTCTAGGAGCAGTGCTTTTGCAAATACGACATTGAAGTTCAATATAAGCCTGGTAAAGAATTACTCTTGGCTGATCCTTATCGAGACTAAAAAATAACAATAGTGAAAAGTTAGACTTACAAAAAGCGATAAATCTACAAGTTTGCTTTGTTACAAACAATTTGCCAATATCTTTAGACAAAAAAGATGAGTTTAAAAAAGAAATGCAAAATGATAGTGTGGGAATGCACCCACCCATGCAACCCTGCGTTACTGAGATTGACAGGACAGAAAAATAAATGAGGCGGGAAGAGCAGAACAATTGGCGCGAACGAGGACATCACAACGTTTTCCCACAACACAGGCGATTTATTCATTCTATTAATCTGTATAATAATAATTACACATTATTTCACATCAATAAAAGTAATTGCTTTTACATTTGGGGGCTCGTCCGGGAAAACGTTGGTGTGTATATTTTACCCATATTATAACTGAGTCAACGAGAAGCATTATGCCGAGTGCTTGCGATTGGACTGCTACCCGGTTGCGGGAAAAAGCTAGAGAGCTTGGTCTGTCGGTCAGCGGTACGAAGGCGGAACTCATAGCTCGATTGATGGAACATAACCCAACCGGGGAATGGACGAATGAAAATAGTGAGCGCAACGATGGCGCTCATGAAGAAGATTGCAACGTGTTTTGGAGGTGCAACTGGCGACAACGACGAATTAGGAGGCCAAGGCAACGAGGAATGCATGCGGAAGAAGTATGAACTTGAGCTAAAAAGACGGCGACAAGAGGCAGAACTCGATAGACGTGAGAGAGAGCTATTAAGAAGCGAGCTCGAGTTTACCCAGCGTGAAAATGAGTTTCTACGCGGAAGCGGACGGCGAAATTCTGAGCATGACTCAATGCGACGGCAGCAAGATGACACCAGGTTTGACAGACAACGTACTATAACACCTTCGCAAAACACCATATCGAGAATGAGCATTAAAGCATTGGCGGATCTAATAGGCGTATTCGACGGGACACCAGATATGTTGAGCGTGTGGAAGAGGCAACTGATTTTCATAAAAACGGCACATGATCTCAGCGATGATGAAGCAAAAATACTAATCGGCATGAAGTTAAAGAAGAGTGCATTCGAGTGGTTGCACTCGAGAGCGGAGCATTTGGAAATGACATTCGATTCATTGGTTACTGAGATTGAGCGTATGTACAAGCCCCAAAGTAGCGTAATAGAGCAGCGGAAGAAATTTGAAGGTAGGCTGTGGAGAAAGGGTGAGTCATTCAGAGATTATGCGCATAATAAAATTGTCATTGGTAATCGCATACCTATTCCAAGTAAAGATTTGTTAGAATATTTAATTGAGGGCATACCAGACCGCGTCCTGTGCAATCAGGCAAGAATGCAGCAATTCTCTTCCACTGAGTCACTCATAGAAGCATTCGATAGGATCAAGCTAGGAGAATCATTGATATCGACAGAGGTCAGGTCGATAAATTCAGTACGCGGTGGTAAAAGTTCGGCAGCGGCGAAAGGTAAACACGAAGACAGCAAAGGGGGTCCAAAAAGAGTTTGTTACAATTGTGGTCACCCGGATCATATTAGCGCTAATTGTCCAGTCAAGACGCAGGGACCGAAATGCTTTGGCTGCAATGAGTATGGTCACATTGCATCCAAATGTCCACGGAAGCTAGAAGTTCCAAAGCAGTCAAATATTGTGACGTGCACAGCACGGAAGCAGTATACCAAAAACGTGGCAAATGGCGAACGTGTCATCGATGCCTTAATTGATACTGTTAGCGACTTAACTTTCATGTGCTACGATGAGTACCTAAAGCTCGGGTCTCCTACATTACGGCGATGCAAGCTACGCTTCGCTGGGTTAGGCTCATACTCACATACTGCAATTGGGGAGTTTGATACTAAAATACAAATAGATGGGCGTCTGTTTCCAATACGAATTTGCGTTATTTCCGATAGCTTGTCAAGCCATTGCCTTCTTATTGGAACAGATTTTCTGGAGAAAAGGAACTTTCATGCGAAGAAAGGGCTCATTTGCATTGATGCAGACGAAGATGACGAGGTAGCTGAAATTATGCAAATCAATTTATGCGAAGAGGATAGTAAAGAAGAGGTGAGATTGTCTCACATCGAGAACGACGACATGAAGGCGGAGGTTCGAAAGCTAGTTACCGAGTATCAGCCTAGAAAGACGATCGAAACGACGGTTAGCATGAGGCTTGTGCTCAAGGACAATGAGCCCGTGTATCAAAAGGCGAGGCGACTGTCGCCTATTGAAAGAGATATAGTCAACAAGCAGGTTGCGGAGTGGGAGAGCCAGGGAATAGTTAGACCATCTTCATCCGACTACGCCAGTCCCATGGTACTTACCAAAAAGAAGAATGGTTCACATCGGCTTTGTGTCGATTACAGGCTTTTAAACAGAAAAATCGTTAAGGATCGATTCCCGCTGCCCTTGATCGAAGATCAGCTAGATCGGCTCCAGGGCGCAAAGATGTTCAGTACCTTGGACCTGAGGAATGGGTTCTTCCATGTAAAGGTCGAAGACGCTAGCGTAAAATACACCTCCTTCGTTGTGCCAGACGGGCAGTTTGAGTTTTTGCGCGTGCCGTTTGGACTCTGAAACTCTCCACCGGTGTTCCAGAGGTATATAAACGCTGTTTTTCGTGACGTCATCCGTGAGGGAATCGTGCTGACATACATGGATGACCTAATAGTCATCTCTGCGGACTACGTCGACGGTTTAGAGCGGCTGAAACGAGTGTTAGGCATTGCATCGAAAGCAGGACTCGATATCAATCTGGAGAAATGCCAGTTTCTTACAAGACGCGTCGAGTTTTTGGGCCACATCATTGAAGACGGAATTGTGAAGCCGTCTGAGACGAAGATCGAAGCCGTAAAGCATTTTCTTAAGCCAACGACTGTTCGACAAGTACAAGCCTTCCTAGGCTTAACAGGCTACTTTAGAAAGTTTATCCCAGACTATTCACGAATAGCGCGTCCCCTATCCAATCTGTTGAGAACAATTGTTACTTTTAAATTCGATGATGCTGGGGTGCATACTATGGATGAACTGAAGACGTACTTGACCAGCCGACCAGTGCTAAGCCTATATAGAACAGGAGCTAGGACTGAACTTCACACGGACGCCTCTAAAGACGGGTATTGAGCGATACTATTGCAAGAGGATGAGGTAGACGGACTGATGCATCCAATCTATTTTGCCAGCGGTAAGACGACTCAAGCGGAGGAAAAGTATCCAAGTTACGAGCTGGAGGTTTTGGCTATCGTCCGTTCATTGCGCAGGTTCCGGGTGTATCTATTGGGCATTCCATTTAAAATAGTCACCGATTGCAAAGCGTTCACGATGACCATGGAGAAGAGAGATTTGTGCGTTAGGGTGGCACGTTGGGCACTATTTCTTGAAGAATTTCAATACGCCATCGAGCATAGACCGGGACGCAGTCTGAAGCACGTCGACGCACTGAGTCGCTATCCACTCTCGTCATGTTTGGTGGTTACAGAAGACGAGGACAGCCTTACAACGAGGCTAAAAAAACTTCAACGTGAAGACGACGAATTGAGTGAAAAGATTGCACTAGCTGAGAACGGAGCTCATGATGGTTATAGCATTTGGCGTGGACTTTTGTATAAGGACGTAGGCGATGAATCGCGTATCGTTGTTCCAAGATCGATTCAGGCTCAAATCATTCGAAAGGCACATGAGCGGGGACACTTCGCTATGGAAAAAACGGCGGCTCTCATCGAAGATGTCTACTGGATGCCAGGTCTACGACAGAAAATCAAGAAAGTAATTCAAAGCTGTTTATCTTGCATCTTAGCAGAGCGGAAAACCGGTAAGTCGGAAGGATTCCTGCATCCAATAGACAAGGGGAGCTACCCTTTTCACACGTTCCATGTGGACCACTTGGGTCCCCTGCCATCGACAAGAAAATCATATCGCCACATCTTTGCTGTCATCGACGCTTTCACAAAATTTGTTTGGTTATATGCGACTAG